ACCATAATAATAATAATCATCATCATCATCTCTATTTTACACAAGACGAGAGAGGAGGAAGGGGGGAGTGGGGGAAAGGTCATTTTTCCCGCAGAGTTGGGCGAGGGAGCTAAACTTTTCATCATTTCAAGCCCCTTCCCTGTTGGTACAACACACACCAGTAACTGCGGCTCAAGACAGCCAAGCCTGCCACAGCCCTGCCAGTTCCTCTGGGTGTATTCTTCAGGATTTGGGCCAAAACCTAATGGCTGGCTTTTTGCTTATTTCAGGTATTCAGTCTAGCACTTTTCCAGCTTTCTACTTCCCTGTGGAAAACATCGAGAGCTTTGTGAATGTCCATCCCCTCCATGATATGTCTCTCCAAGCCTTCACCTTATGTTTCTGGACAAAAGCCCAGCACGCTGGCAGTCAGACTGTTCTTTCCTACTCCACACAGGAGAGGGATAACGAGCTGGTGATGACCGTGGGCACAGATGTGGGATTGTGGATCGGAGGCCATTTCATCAGCTTCCCCCTGCAGCACGAGGCACAAGATTGGCTGCACTACTGCATGGCATGGGCCTCCCAGTCTGGAATGGCAAATTTATGGCTTAATGGAGCAGCTGGTAAAGCAAAGAGTATCCAGAAGGGGTATGTGAGCCAGAGTGGAGGGACGCTGGTGCTTGGGAAAGATAGGGACACTCTTCTCGGGACGTTCTCCAACGGCTTTGCAGGGTGGATGACTCAGGTGAACCTGTGGAGCCAAGTTCTCAGTCCTGCAGATGTTCGGGCACTTGCACTGTGCAAACAAGGGCAACTGAAGGGAGATATCATAGCGTGGGGAGAAACCTCCATGACCCTCTTGGGAGGGGTGGTTCTGGAGTCTGACACCAGCTGCCAGTGACTCCAACTTTTCCTTTTTTTTTACAAATTTCTTTTTTAAGGCAGCAGAAGACTCCAGACTGCTTGCTGGGGAAACTGAGATAAAAATAGATGCTTTGCTTGTTTCTCGTTCTGCTTTGTATGGGCTTGCTACTGTTTCAAGTAATTTTTCCAAGAGCGGCAAAACCTCCACCAGTGGGGTAGAAGCAAAGAACAGAGCAGAACCTGGCACAGTGCAACACTTTGCACTGTCATATCCCTTCCAGGAGTTTGATTTTTCAACACACATACACATCCCAAGTTTGAGGGCAGGTATAAAACTAATTTTCTAAGGTTAAATTAAATCACATGAAGGACTATATCAACAACACAAGATCTATGCCAGGCTCTTCAGCAATTCTTTTTTTTTTCTTCAAAACACAGGGCAGCAGCCCCACATAACAATTAATTAAATTGAATTTCTTCATGTTAAATTATGCCATAATTAACCCCCAAGCCCCTTAAGCTAATAAATATTTTAAGAAATCCTTTGTTTTTATCAGTGTGCACTTTACTTTCTTCTGAGAGTCAGCACTAGTCCTTGGACTCAGAACTTTTTCAAACCAATTTCACCTTTAGGTAGAATGGTGCTCTTAGGGGACACAACCAGAAACCAGTCGATGGACCAAGCTCTAAACCATTTGAAGACTGTTTTCAAGCGGTTTCAAGTACCTGAGAGCTGAGCTCTTTCAAAAGCTAAATTTAAGCAACTCAGTGTGAGAAGCTAAAGACAAGTTTGGATGTGTTTGCGAACGCAGGCTCCAACCCGTAGCCCACCGCACAGGAATCAGCCTGAATTTGACTCCAGCAGGGAGGTTCTCACTGAATTCAACACCTTAGATCTCTGGGGGATGAATGAGCTTCACGTGGCTCAGAGGTGCAGAGCAGGGATGTGGGGGTTATTAAAGGATTAGGAGAGGGCCTGTTGGTCTTGGGCAGCTGAAGTGTAAACTCCAGGGAGTGAAATGAGCTAAACAGCTCGAAGCCTAGAGTGCCACTGGGACAAGTCGGTTCAAACTGTTCTGAGTCAGCATCAGCCAGATGGATGACTCCTCACCCCAAGAACAAGGCTTTGGAAGGATTCATCCTCAAAAGCTGAGGACTAGGTTAGATTTGAAGGAGAGTTAGGTGAGCAGGGTAGAGGTGAGATTACATTTCCACTTTAGCAGTCCTTTGAAGCACACAAAAGGACAAGAGTTGACGGGATAAATACCGTTACCAGCTCACCTAACGAAGCACCTCAGAACAACCAACACTCTCTGCACCCCAGAGCACAAAAGGCCTGGCATCACCCATGCTGGACCCTCAGATATAGGAATGAAAGTTCCTCAGAGGAAGAGAGTGCACTCCTGGGACACAACTGACCAAAACGCAGCCCAGGTGCTGGCTCATGTCACCCCCTCCTGCTGTGGGAAGTTTACGGAAGGTCTCAATGAAGACTAGTATCAAATGATGAAACCATGTATTTGTTCTCTAGCTGAATGTATTCTGAAAAAAATGTCTGGGCCAGGCAAAACGCTGGGCTGGGTCACAGCTCACTGCTGGAGACTTCTTTCTCCTCTGCCTGCCCACCTGAGACAGTCCTGTGGAAGTCCTTAAACTCGTCTTTGTCATCCTGAATCTCCACCTTGTTCCTCTTGGCCATGATCTTGTTGATTTCCATGAAGGTTTTGTTCTTTGTCTCAGGAACAATAAAGAAGATGTAAACCATAGTGGCGAGGCAGATGGCACAGAAGATGAGGAAGCTGTAGGGCCCCAATCCCTCCTAGCGCAACGAAAGAAGACAGAGCAGGGATCAGGGGACTACTCCACTTGTGTACATTACAGGATTTGGGCATGCTGAACACTGCAAGGGCTATTAAAAACAAAAACAAAGGCAGCCACGGTGATGTGCACATATCTTAAGTTGAAAAACTAGAAGTTAGAGGTGGTTAAAAAGGCTCTCCAAGAATACAGAGGTGAAGATACTGATTTTAAGCTGAAGATTTGCCCTCTCCTGTGATTGCATCTTACCTCCATATAGAGGAAGACAAGCCCCACGGTGAAGTTGGAGAGCCAGTGCACAGACCCACCCACCATGAACGCTGCAGGCCGGGATGACTGCAGGAACATCTCGGTGATCATCACAAAGGGAATTGGACCTGGAAGACAGTTGCATATGTGGAAATCTCAAAGGTAATTCTCCCACTCTGAATTCCCAGATTACACTGTTCGTTTCAGTGGCAGCCAACGGTTTCTAAACTACTTAGTGTTTAGGAACACTAGTAAATCAAATAAGGGATTAAATAAAAGAAAACCAAAAAAACCCCAGGGCAACTAAATGACTTTCCTGCACTTACACACAGCAATCAACATCTCTGCTATGGTTTCATCGTCACCCTGAACCCACATCCAGCACAAATTGTAAAATAAGACTGATAAATATGAGCTGTCTCTCCAGAGAGCATCCTACCAGCAGCAACTAAGCAAGTCATTGCTTCTTTAAATAAAAAAAAAAAAGAAAAACCAAGAAACAGCCCAGCACCTGCAGGTGTTGGACAAATGCCTCTGGGGAGAAGCCCTCAGGCCGAGCCCTGCAGTGCCGCCCCGCGGCTCCCAGCAGCAGACACAGACCTTGTTTCATTCATGGAGCGAGGCCACAGGCCCAGCTGAGCTGCTGTTCTTCCTCCAGCAATCTCCCAGCATCCAGCAAGGGTCTGGCAGGGCTTTCCGAGCTAAAGGGACACCACCATCACGCTGAGAAACTGCGTCAGGACAAAGCCTTTCCAATATCCACACTTATCTGCACATCTCCTTTCTGCAAAGGGACCTGCAGGGCCACACGTGTCATTTGAGATGCGTTTAATTTGTCTTGTTGCCTACAGATGCAAGCATGCAACGTCTCTGCCCAGCTGGCAGGGCTCACTATTTCAGTTTTGCTCCAGATCTTGCTAGGGGAATCTCAAGCACAAGAACAATTGCATCTTTGCATTTCTTCTTGCAAGCCAGATGCTCCCCTGCCTCAGGGACGCAGCCGGTCACTGGACCATAAATAAGCCTAGCCGACAATCAGCAAGGCCCATGGCCCCACAGACAAGAAATCTGATCTCCTTGGATTAGCTCCACAAAGCTTTTGATTTGAAATTGAACACGGCACTTGCCTTTACCCAACTTGTGGAGGAGGCTGGACTAGACAGTTCATACTTACTGGCTCCAATAGCATGTCCAATGATGTAGACAATGACACACACTATGCTGAGGTAAGACATCCATGTGACAGTCACCTGGGAAGAATTTAATCACAGGTTAGATGTGGTTCTTACCTGAACATCAACACGTTCAAGGCACTGTTTGTATTAAGATTTCTAATGCCGGTGTCACTCTCCATTGCCAGGTATGCCCGTACCATGCCTGAGTATAATCCTCACTTCCCACAAATGTTATAACGAACATGATGTACTGGAAGCGGTATTCAGACAAGCAGGGTCATAGCTTTTCCTGGGTTTGCTTTAGGCAGATACACAAGTACAGAGAAATTCAACACTGTCCCCTCCACACCCAGGGTGCAGAAGCAACTTCAAAATACACCAATAGCCTGTTCCCTGGAAGGTTCAGAAAAGCAGGGTGGGATCACCCGAGCCATTCAGCTACACACCTGGAGACTGAGGGCCAAAGTTAACACTGCACAGGAGACACAGCACAACCCAAACCCAGCAAGGAGAAGGATTCTCCTCCCCAGGGATTCCACGATGAAAACCTGAAAGAGACAAAAGAGGGTGAGGAGTCAGATGCCTGGGGCACAGCACTTCTTATTCCAACAAAATTTAGACCCTTGTCTTCTAAGAAATTCAGTGAAATTTCTGGCATCAGCAAAAAAAGGGTCTGTCAGCCTGGAGCCCAGAGACTGAAAACTTCTGCGGCCTGTTAGAAATCAGCACAATGAACCCCGGGGGTTAACAGAGCTGCCTTCACCCAAGGGACACTGCAGGGCACCTGTTGTGCAAAGCAGCTCACAGGATGTGTAAATAATGACCTAATTTAAACAGTGGTGTACAGGGGAGACTGAAAAAGCAAGAATTGAAAGAGCTGTAGTGGTAACTCACAGCAAGCAAAGTCATGACGACGTTGATGGCGCCTGTCGACACAGTGACATACTGAACACTGCTGCTGTCCACACCTGCTGCCTCGAAGATTCTGTTTGCGTAGTAGAAGACCTGCAGCAAAACCACAGCTGTGTTTATATGTGGCCAAAGGCAGAGCACAGGAATCCCATTTTGGCAGCTTTTCCATCCTGGAACTGGTGCACAGAAGCCTGAAGTCTTTTATTTCTGAAGCCATTGGTGTTTGGATCCAGGCACAAGCATCTTACTCAGAAACTATCCTTAGCAGGACAGCTTGACCCTGCGTCTAGTACATGTGTGTACTGGATTTGGTACTGGTCAGGGTCAGCCCACCACAACGTGATGCAGAACCCGTGTCCCTGATGAAGGGGTACTGCTGTGTCCTAGGTTCTAGCTTCTGTGACAGGACCACCCCAGTTCATCCACTCTGAAGTCCCATCCCTTTGTTACTCACCCCACTGGCCTCTCCCACTCACCGCATTAATCCCAGAGAGCTGCTGGCCCATCATCATGACAATGATAGAGATGAGTTGCCATCGCAAGCCTCTGAAGGTGCACAGGCTGAACACAGTGAAATGCCCTTCTTCCCTTTCCGACTGGTCTTCTTGGCGCATTTCTTCTATCTCATCATCCACATCATCCCAACCTCTCAGCTTTTGCAGAGCTAGTTGGGACATAAAGGTGAGTTACAGACCCCAGAGAGCAGGTCTACAGTGAACTCTCCTGCCTCAAATCGAGACAGAACATTAGGTAAGCTGTGGGCAGCAGTGCTTCTAGGGTGGGAAGTCAGGAATTCACGTGTGCAGAGAAAGGAGCAATGCTGCAGGCATTCTATCCACCAGCAACACGTCAATCAAGAATTTCACGCTTGCTTGCTTCACTG